AAGCGACGTGTGGTAAATTCATTGCTCAAGAGAATTCGTGGTCAAGACAAAAGTTGCCCTCTGCGCGAATCGAACTTCGCACATGCAGAATCCGAATTCGGAGTGGACTTGCAAAAGACTGTCAACCACCATACCTCCAAGCAAATATTATGCTGACTGGTCTATGAAAAGACGCGCGGCATTAGAATAGACAGTTGGTTTCACAGTTCGAGATTACACTTTTAAACAGTTCTGAAATTTTAATACCGGTAAATTAAACAACGTATACAAAGTTTTGTGAGGACGAATTGGAAAAAGATCGCTCTAGGACTGTAGAGGGAAATATTCATTTGAACAAAATTTGTGCAGCGTGTTAAATAACCGCAGGACGATTGGTGGTCCAAGTTTAACTTTAACAAACAAACTTGATTTACATGCTGTAAAAATAATGCCGGTTGAGTTTAACCATAGCAAAGGGTACTAAAAGAAATATGAGAACAGTTGAGACGTACGTATGGTTCTTATTCCAGCTAGAACAGCTGAAATGTTAATCCCTATCGTCAACAAAAGTGTAGAAAAAGGATCTATTATCCTCTGATTGTTAAAAAAATATTACAGCACGATGAAACACGAAGGCTTCAGCACTTTCATATGAACCACAAGTTAAACTTCGTCGATCTACAAAAGGGAGCATATGAAAGAAACGTTCATCAACTGCGATGCCGATCAGCTAGATAACGTGGCAAGAAACAATAAGGAACTGACATACCAGTGACAGTAATATCTATGTAAATTTCTTTGGAGAAAAAATAAAACTCTGCTTATTATTTTAAAAAATACTGAACGAATTGCAATTTTTTTCTGCAGTCAATACGCATTCCTTGCTAATATTTGAAGAGTCCTTCAAAACAGAAAATTTTCTGGATTAAAATAAGACACGGTTAGAGGAGTGAAATAAAAGACTTAGTGAAGCCTTCGGAACCCAGAACCGTGCTCCTACTTCAGCACAGAATAAAAGATACAGCGCTGATATCGTAGTCAGAGAGATGAACAAGTTTTCAGTTAAAGCACTGGAACGGAGACAGATCAAAAATGCTATGGTAAAACGCGGTGGTAAGAAAAGAAAAGAAACTGAAAAATACACAGTGAATAATTAGAAAAAATTAAATCATTTAGGATGGTTTCAACTAGAAGACAGATCTTTGAAGAAAAAAGAACAAACGGCCATTGTGAAGCATGCTTTGATAAATTGCATCGTATTAGTAAAAAGGACACAAAGATCATGGGATCGAGACAACACCATTGCTGATCTCATGATAGGCAAACTAGCGTTCATTACAGCTTTTGGTGCAGCCTGTGTTAATGACGAATCAAGCTTCAAAAGTCTATTCCCTAATTAAAACTTCGTATAAAAAAGTTAGTTTTTACCATTTGATCTCTATAACTTTTTCATTTTTTATCTCTTACTTTCACTTTGCTTTTCTTTTTTTGACTTTGCTTATTGATCACCGTCACGGTGCTTTCAATGTAAACTTGCTTATCTTTATCATTACGATATCCTCACTGTACAGCATTTGCGCCGAAGAAGAAGCACCATGATGGGTTCCGAAAACTTCACTTATTAACGTGCTTTATTCCAGGCTTCTAACCCTCATCTTATCTTGATCTGTTAGCCTAAGAGGCTGTATCTGTCTTTTAAAGGAAGGTCTTCTGATTCAACGGTTAGTGGAACAAAGATCATGGCGTGATGACGAATAGTGGCGTGTTCGAAACGTCGGCATATGTAAATTGGTTTGCTTTATACCATTAACCAGTGGATCACAAAACTTGTTCTTTGAAGGATTCTTAAACTGCGAGTTTTATACCTTGTATACAATAACCTGTATTTAAATGCATTTTACCTAAAATCTACATTTATTTTCGTTTGAGAACGTTCACGTTATGATAGCACAATGAAAACTACCTACAGTGGTATCTGCTACGCTTGAGTTTACGCATAAAAGCGGCATTCTTTAATGATCTTCCTCAAACAGTACATTTTCAGACGACCACTTTCAAGCTCGACATCAAGACTGAGGCTGAACATAAAACGGATTATGCAGCCAACAAGCGGAACCCATCAGCGTTGAAACCTGTTCCAAAGGAAGCTGTTTACGGTTTTAGTTTAGCCAGCTCGATTGCCTATTCAAAACCTGTGCCACTAGTTTTACTACTTGAAGCTGCCCGATCGATCCAGGTCAGAAGCCTGGTTGGTGGTAGTTATATTCTGTACTGGTGTGTCATGGAGACAGTAACGATGTGAGACAGTAATTTGAAATTATTTCTAGTTCATGTTTGATTTAATTAATTAAGAACGGAAATACGAGTGCGCGTCTAAACTGTCAATTTGTAGCAGCATCTCAACGACACTTGTATCTGATGGTGATGAACCACTTGTAGAATTTTTCGAACTTGGTTTGGTCCCCACTCTCCCTCCTCGCTCCATCTGGATGACGACAGTTACTGAAACAATTCGCGTTCGTCACTTAGATGATAAGTTCATGGTTTGAATTTAACAGCGTAACCGAAAACTTCGCATTACACGAGAGCTGAATCATTTTCTCATAAGTTTTCTCGAAAATCATGGCGACAGGATTTTCTCACTTTAAGTTAGCCATAAAATATCGACATTTATTAAAAAAAGCAAACTATGCTGCAGCCAGCGAATAATACGGAATCAATGATTATCGACTTCGTCTAGTCATGTACTCTTGCATATCCAACAAGCTGGTGCGAGACGAAAAGTAGTGCACATCTGTCGAACGGAGCTGAAGCGTATGCCTGCGGTCCCTGCTCTGATTCACTTCGCGATGGATGGTCTCCGTCATTTGCTGAGCAAGGACGGATACGCTTCTTGGCATGTACGCGATTTAGCTTGCGAGCATATACGCCCTGCATTTCTGCAGATTTCGCTTATTTCGAGAAATAGGTTCCTCCCTGAAGGTATCCTCCATATACTCAAACTCCTCCTGTCATCGGACTTCAAGGCATGCTGCACCGCACCTTGGGACTTGTGGGCATGCAGTGCTAGATCC